TTCTCAACAACCGAAAGAATCAAAAGAAAGAATTTCATAACAAAGGAAAAATGCAAAAAATTCTTTTTGTTTTTTTGACACATCTCAACAAGGCAAAAGAAATTTGTTTCAAAAACAAAACAAACTGATGACGAGGATATTTCATTTTAAATATATTTCAAACACACACACACAGATTCTAATTATAATGACAGAATCAATGAAGTAAGTAAGTAATTAAGTTTTTCTTTTCTTGGATCGTCCAAGTTAATTAACACTTGGTTAACGATTGGTTACTTAATGGTTAATCAAAAAACAAAATGATGATTAAATTAAGTAACTTTTTTTTTCTTTATTTGATGATGGTTGCTTTGGCTAATATTTTCAATCAATCGACAATCATCATCGATTCCAGAATAATTCAATTTTCGTTGAATTTGGCAAAAGGGAAAAACGAAAGAAGAATGTTTTCTTGGTCCAAATTCTTTTCCGCTCGGTCCATATTCTGTACAGAATTTAATTTCAACAACCATGAACAATGTGACAACTTTGTTAAAAAAACAACAACAACCATGTACAAATTGAATATCTTTTCTTTCCTTTTTTGTTTTGAATCAAATTCTATGGGTACTTTTTTGTTTTCATTTTCCGCCTTCTTCCCTGACAACAACGACAATGATGATGATAATGATGAATCCTGGACAACAACAATTATAACGAGAGAAGAAGGAAAGAAAAGAAGAAATTCCACACACACAGAGAGAAAACATCAAAATAGTGTGTGTAATCATCAGTAGAGAAATTTGGAACCAAACGAACTAAAGAAAAAATCGAAATAATTCAATGACCGAATGAACGATATCGATCGATCGATCGATCGATCGATTGTGTTTTCTTCTTCCTATATGGAACCAAATTCAAATACACACACAAACTGGATGCATTGTCATTTCATGGTTGGTGTGTGTGTGGATCGAAACTTTTTTCTTCATTTTTTTTCGTTTTGTTTTGGTTGTTTCGACAAATTAGACGAAACAAAAAAAAATGTTTTGTGTGTTTTTCGGTTTGGGTTTTCTCTTTTCTTGGTTGTTTCAATTATGAATGTTGTTGGTTGAATGAAGAGAATGGCAAAAAACCAAGTGAAAAAAAAAATGTTTGAAATGTTCATGATGAGATGGTTGAATGATTTTCATCATCATCATCATGATGACAACATCTTCGTTTTTCTGTCGGTTCTGGATCGACAATTTGTTGTTGTTGATGCTACTACTATCTTCTGTCATCGAAAGATTTCTTTTCTTTTCTTTTTTGAATCGAAGAAAAAGTTGACAGAAACAAAAACAAAATGGAAAATGTCATCAAATAAATACGACAACAACATTATCGATATAGACCGAGAGAGAGAGAGAGAGAGAGAGAGAGAGAGAGAGAGAGAGAGAGAAGCCGGAATTGTCGAAATAGTGGACCAACAATATGGTTCGAATTGAA